TATATAAAGTGTGGGAGCTTCCAGTGTCCATTTAATGATTTTACATTTATTATTGTTTCCATTTGGAGGAGAGGAGATTGAAGGTCTCCAGCTAGTTCCATGTTAGTGAGAGAGAAAGCTGTCTCTGCGTGATATGGTAACAGAGGTGGCTTTCTCTGGTCTTCTTGCACAGATGAGTCCTGTATTCAGACTGTGTGCTGGGATGATGTGATATCATCTTCTATCACTTTCTTTTGATGTTATCAGTCAAGGTGCCCATAGGAGAGAAATGGACAGGGCAAGTTATCTCACATAGCTATTATAATTGAGAGTTAACCCATTCCTTCACTCATCCTGACACTAACAGGGAGCAGCTGCAGACCTCCAATCTGTCTCCCTACATTATCATCAGTAGTCGAATGTAGAATGATTGATTTATAAGTAAGTGTTCTTTCTTTAATGTTCTGTGATATTTGTATTGTTGATTTCCATCATAAATGAGAATTCCAAGTCCTAGATACAGATGGGATTTGAAAGTTTACCTGCAGACTGTCAAAGGATAATTGTGTCAGTCTGCAAAACCCAGGGACTCTATAAGTAAAGAATTAGAGTGCGGGTCTCCTTATTCTGCTTCTTTACATTTGTCATCATTTCCCCATCACTGAAAGAATGGTACATTATGTGAAACTCCGGTGTCATAAATGCATTAATTACCATTGTATGTTCTTTTTTTCAGGAGACTCCTGTGTTACAGGTCTGACTTTGGAAAGTAAGTAACATTATACTAGTCTAACTGGTTGGTGGCCTCAATGCACAGACCTCACATTTGATGATAAACCTATTCTTTTATTTTTTTATTTACACTAATAATCATACAGCAATTGTTTGCTTAATTAAAGTATATTGTGCACTTAGTTGCCATGGGCAAATTGTTTTATGAGCAATGTACATCCAAGCTTGAAGGGATATTCCACTCTAGCTTTTAACAACATTTTTTTTAATGTGTTCTGTAGATAATGTAATCTTGCCCAATGATGCTCACTTACCTGTCTAGTGCAGGTGTTCATCTTGCTATGGCTTTATGGGCATAACAAGAGTTTTAGTTCTACCCAGAAGATCGATCAAGCACTGGACGCGTTTCGCACCCCTCCTGGTGCTTTCTCAACATCTTTTTTTTTTTTTTTATAACATGTGTGGGTGCCTGCAGACTGCTCCCCCAGTGCAGCAATGATGGCAAAAATTATACATATTCCAGTTTTATGTATTTTTTTTTTCCCCCCTCCATCATAACCATACAATTAAATGTCAATAGTTGATTTACTTAAAGGGTTTTTAGTATTCATGCCACTTTATTTACCTCTATCTTGGAGCTGAGCACCTCCATCTTGGCTCCCTGGCAGTCATTATTATCAGCTCTGTCTTTATCACCTGGCAGTCAGCATGAACAGAGCATAGATGAAGCCGAAGAAGCCGAAACAACATTTATTTTTCTCCTTCTTCAATGCCATTTGTGCCCTGACTGTACCTTGATTGTGATGCCATTTACAAAATCTTTAACTTGGTTAAGTAACTTCAATCATCACATGAAAAAAAAAAAAAAGTAGAAAATTCAGTGTTTTTCTTTCATAGTGTAACTTCAAAAGCATTGACAGTTTCCCTTTAAATAGCTTTGATTATTTTTTTCCTAATAAAACCCTGCCACCGTGTGGTCATACTTCTAAATGCATCCTTAATACGAAGTTTAGATGTTTTCATTTTTTAAAACACTTTGAGTTTTCTCCTGTTGAAGAATATCCAGGGAGTAGATGCTATTACTTTCCCTATTTGTTGCAAATACATTTTATTCCATGGAGGGGAGCTCATCTGAATGTTCTTGGTAATCTCACTTGTCAAGGTCACGTTTAATTACTGAATCTAACGTTTGTTTACATTTTCAGTTCTTCAGTTCCTGGCAAAGGTTTTGCATACATTCCAAAGTCAGAACAAGTAAGTACAAACGTGATGTTTTGCTAAACACCGTATCCAGACTATTCTTAATACTGGCAGAATACAGTCAAAATGTGTATATTAAATTTTTATTAAACACGCTCTCTTTATGGTTGAAAGCTGTGGGTCCTAGTCACCGTTATAGGCTTGTAACATTTGTGGACGAGAGCTGTAGCCATGAAACGATTATCTTCTTGTAATGTTTCTCACACTTTGGGTTTCTTGTAAATGTAGTTTTAAATATCTGAAGTGGAATAATTCTGCAGGATTGGATACTTTGGTCTAAAACTTGATTTCCATTGTCTGTACTCCACATTTATTTATGGTTTCATCCTGAAATAACACTTGTGTGAATATCCATTTGTTTCCCTTTAATCCCCTCAAAACTTAGCACTTGGGTGATGTTTTATCATGGAAACCCATGTTTTTAATCTATATGAGACGTGGGATATGGAGATAGTACATCAAATAAAGACAAAACTATTTTGGATATAGATTGATGATCTTCGGCAAAAGTAAAATTGAGTACATAAACAAAAACTATTTTTTGTTTTTTTAAGTAGTTTTCTTTTTTTCAAGTGCCGTAAAAATGCCCATGTACTCTGTTTTACAGATACTTTTAAAGAATGTTATTGTCATTTAAATATGTAAATTAATAATACGGCTATTATGCTACTTACATTTGATACATATTTCAAGTTAAACAGACATCCTTATCTGAAATGGACTGTTGCAGCCAGCATAGGTCCCTGTTACGTCTCTATGCCCCCTATTACTCCCCCAAGCGGCTCTTCCTGCGCTAGCATTAAATACATCAAACCTGGCAGTATCCGGTGGTGGTTTGTCATTCTATATGTTGATGTAAATTTCTTATTGTTTTGTATGGCATTGCAAAAAGAACATCTAGCCCCCTGGATCCCCCCTGCCCCACTAAATATAGCAAAATCTTACTTTTATTCCAGCCTGCTGCTGTTGGCTCTGCCCTTAAACTGCCTGCTTGGCTGACATTATCAGAAGTGATGTTCTGAGCCAATCACAATGATTTGCCAATCCGCTTCTCCTCATAGATATACATTGAGTTAATGCATCTCTATGAGGAAAGTCCAGTGTCTGCATGCAAAGGGTGGAGGCACTGAATGGCAGTGCAGCACTGCTCCAGGTAGCATCTATAGTAGCCATCTGGGGAGTGTTTTTTGCAAAAAGCCTGAAGGTAAGGATTCTACTCCACAGAACAAATACAATAAGCTGTAGTTGTTCTGGTGACTAAAGTGTCCCTTTAACATGTCTGCGTGATGATGTTGACAATGCTATTTATTAGGTCTGTTACCTAAACTGTAGTGACCATTATTTCTTAACAGATTATTTGACTAATCATTTCAGTACCTAATACCTCAGTTTTAGTGAAGTATCCCATTCTGCGAGAAAATAAGTGTGTGTACTAATTACTTCTCTCTGGCACAGATTTCTATAAACCAGGCTTTAGTATCTAGATAAGTATTAGAACACTGTAACATATTATCTGCAAATACTGGCAGACACTTTTCACGTATTTTATGTTAACATTCTGCAGTTCTGTTTTCATCACATTAACTGCAGCAGGGACTGAAGAGGTTTAAAGAGGTGTTAGGCACCTTTCTAGTTCTTAAAGGATTTAAGACACCTGTGAACGCAAAACTATTTTTTTAATATAATGATCCTTTCATCAAGTTTTGAAAATAAATCAATTTTTTAATCCACTTGCACCCTGTCAAGAATCTACACAGTAACTGCTATAGAACCCAAAGTATAGTGGAAATGAATCAAAGTCTTGTGTTTCCGTTATATTATACTACGCTCTGATTCTGTTCGGTGTCCTGTAGATTAGTGAATGTGTTTTTCTCTCTCTCTCCTCCACTTGAGTCTTGCTGACTGTGTTATTTTACGCTGGCAGTTTTAATAATGCCAATTGTTTCTCACCAGGAAAGTGCTTGGAAATGGCCTCGCTCAGACCCAGTTGATGCACGACTTGTTAACGGCCGTGAAAGTTTCCATGGTTCTGTTGCAGAGGGTTCAGGAATCCGTCCAGATGGATGAACATTCTCCTCTCTGGAACACAATGTGTGACCTGCTGGCTCGCTTCGCCAGTATGATCATGGATGGTAAATGCCCATTATCCTCCCCTGGAATATTTTTATTTTTTTTTTTTTTTATGTTAATGGCCATACTTCTGAGAAATGATTTACCAGTTCAGGGAAGGAACTTGCATGCATATTCGTACATAGTAGGGGCCCATTACTTTTTCACTAGAGGCTTTCCCCGGCATCAGACAATCTATAAATAATTGATTTATTTCCAAAATATTTTAACAGGAAGGATACGTTGAGATTGTTTTCAAGTATGTCCTGGGCCCACTAACACAGAATTGTTACAATAGGGAAAAATATAATATTAAAAATACAAATAATATTAATACACAACATTTATTATTTATAAAGCGCCAACAAATTCTGCAGCGATGTACATATTTAACACTAAACAGGTAAGAAATATAGTCACACATGATTACAGGTGAATTCTGTTTTGAGGTATATAGAGAGGGATCTCTTAAAAAAAATTTAGGCTGGTGGAAGATTTGAAAGTGTCCAGGAGGTTATTCCATAATTGCGGTGCTCTGAGGATCGAGCCGCTTTGTTTTTGTATTGTGGTAGACTAAAGAAAGTGCTGGTACTAGATTGGAGGTTTTAGGAGGTTGGAACAGCTGGGTGAGCATTCTACACAGGTAGGTTGGGAGCTACCCAGAAAAGTTTTGAAACTGGGCTATAAATTTAGCAATGGCAAGTAACAATTTGAGTGTGCCCTGGACTCCCCAGGCTTGCAGTTGTAACTTATAAGGCCTGGCTATTAGCATAGGACTTGAAGTGTTAGGGTGTGTGTGTGTATGTGTGTGTATATATATATATATATATCAAAATTCTGCACACCAGTCAAGCCAGAAGACTTGCTTTTCCCACAGAAATCCCATAACTGCAGCGCTGTTACAACTGCAAAGGATTCTGGATGGGCATATGCAAATTAGTTTAACAAAGAATCACATTTTTGCCTCATTCCAAAAATGTGATTCTTTGTTAAACTAATTTGCATATGCCCATCCAGAATCCTTTGCAGTTGTAACATCGCTGCAGTTATGGGATTTCTGTGGGAAAAGCAAGTCTTATGGCTTGACTGGTGTGCAGAATTTTGATTAACATTGTATTATCCACAGACTTCAGGAGGGACAGGTTTTCAATCACAATTTTTCCCCACCATAACCTATTTGGATTTTATGACAGAGAGATATATATCTCTATATCTCTATATCATTTATTTTTATTTTTTTACTTAATCTATTTAGAAAGTATGATTGCTGCATGGTTTGAGCAAAACATTAAAATTGAGTTGTAAGTATATAAGAAATAAGGTACAGTTTGCTCATGATGTCTGTTGAGATTTTGCATTTAATAAACTGGGATGCAGAGAAATAAATAAAATGAGACTGTCTCCTGCTTGCATACATAGTGAGGAACATACATAAGACACGATGCAGCAATTTGCTTTGAAAGATGTATTTTGGAAATAGTGTGTAATAGATGTATTTCTCTTACCCAGATGACCTATTGCAAAATGTCCAAAGCACCTCTGGACTGGCATTCATTCTGTACCTAAAGATCATGTTTAAGGATAGTGAAAAGCTGCCCCAACTGGTAAGTATAATTCCTATGTATTCTGCTTGAACTGCCCTGAGGCCTGAAACCTTCATTTCTGTCTCCTTTATGCCTGCTGTTTCCTGCTCAGTGGCACTCTTTGATCTTGCCCTGACCTCCTATTTAAGTGGCCTGATGTGTCCATACATTCAGAATATAGGATAGGTGCACCCTAGTTTAATGTGTTTTTATTAAAGCGGCACTGTCATGCCAAACTTACCTTTCCTCAATCTCTTCCTTTTCTCCCCCCCCTCTCAGGATCTGTTCTTATTTTCTTCCGGTCTTCTTTAGTTTTCTTTAAAATCATTAGACAAAGTAGGGACTGTTTGCCTTATGGAGGTTTCCTCCTCTTGACCAGCTCTGACCAGCGGAGGAGCAAAGTGTGCCTCGTTTCCGCTGGTCAGAGCAATTTCCCCATAATTCTTACCTTTCCTCTGTGATCTTGCGATGTTTCCTGTCATTTTAGACGAAACTGCCAAATTGCGTTCTAACTGAATGAGAACAGTTTGTTTGTTTAAGAACTCAATTCGGCACTTTGTTCGGTTCGAAATTACTTGCTCTCCCCGGTCCCCCACCCTTAAGTGGTGGGTGGGGGCCATAAAAATGAGGGGGGTGGACATACTGTCCTCCCCCCACCGGCCCCGGTGGGTGGGGGCCATAAATTACAATGGTGGGGGCCTACTGTGTCCCCCCCAACCTTGAGCGGTAGGTGAGGGTCATAAAGATAATGAGGGGGGGGACCTACTGTCCTCCCCACCGGCCGCCACCCTTGGGCGGCGGGTGGGGGCCCTAAAACAAATCTCCCTCCCCCCGTCCCCCCCCATCAAAGGTTACTAGGGGTCCCCAAGCCCCTTGTCACCCACCCCCCCACCCCAAAAAAAAAGTAACCCCCTCACCCTAAAAAATAGTGAGGGGGGAATAAAATAACTAACCTGTAAAGAAAAAATAAACTTACCGTTTGACGTCTTCTTTTTTCTAAAATCTTCATTTTTCGGCCCCAAAAAAGGCCAAATAAAAAAACCAGAGCGCAAAAAAAAAAATCCATCTTCACCCATGGAGACTGAGCTTTGCAGGGCGGGGGAAGGCTTATAAAAATTATTATTTTTTTTTTTTTTAGACTAGGGGCTTAGGGACCACTAGTCACCTTTGATGGGATTTGTCTAAGGGCCCCATCTGCGCCAGGGTGGGGCGGGGGAGGACAGTAGGTTTACCCCCCCCCCTCCCCATTATCTTTATGGCCCCCCACACACCGATCAAGGGTGGGGTGGGGGGGGGGACACAATAGGTGTTGTCGTCGTCCCCCCGTATTGTTATAGTAGCTTTTTTTTTTTTCTTTACAGTGAGCAACCACAGGCTGCTCACTGTTTAGTAGACATGCCCCTACTCACGGTATAGCGAGTAGGGGCATTTGGGAGGATTTAATCTCCCTTATGCTATCATGGGGGGCTTAGGAACTGCTCCCTGCCGCTTCTGTAGTTACATATTACAAGGAGGGAGCTGCGCGCCGGTAGCTCCCTCCTTGTAATAAACTGCACTAACAAACGAACACTGATATTCAGTGTTTGTTTGTTCGGCTGATTTTTCTATTCACTCATTCGTCTTTCTGATGAATAAATAGATGAAATTCCTGTTCGCGTGTCCAGGTGTTTCACTGGGCATGTGCGGGAATCTCAGTGCTATCTAGTGTGGGCAGATGACGTGACTTCATCTACTCGCATAAAGATGGCGGCGCCCTGAATATAGATCGGGGCAGAAAATAAAGAATAAAAATAGGTAATATGGGGGGCTTAGGAGCATTTGGGGTTGACTAGGGGGTCAGTTAGATGTTGTGGAGTTGGGAGGGGGGTTAAAATAAAACTGGATTCGGCCATGACAGTGCCGCTTTAAACCCTAGATGGTAGGTGCCTTAAATGTAGGTAGATTTGAGTTTCATGTGTAGCTTTAGCACACAGTCTCCACTCGCAGGTCAGAGTGTTTGGTGATTTCACTCACAGCATGATTAACACAAAGGCGACTATACGCTGCCGCCTAGGGCTCAGGAGTTAGGTGCCCTGGTACCAAAAATTTGTCTCATTAACCATACCTATGTGAGAAGTGAAGGGGTGACCCCAAACCGGTCGGCTTTAACTCCTTAAGGACCAAACTTCTGGAATAAAAGGGAATCATGACATGTCACACATGTCATGTGTCCTTAAGGGGTTAAAAGCTTGTTGGAAACTCACTGCAGCTAAATTGTAACTGGGATTTTATTAATGACACGGAGGCTCATATTATGCTTTCTCTTTCTTTTATTATTCTCCTCAGCAGCAAGAATTTAACTTGAAAGAGAATAAAAACGAAATAACATAAGTAATCTGCCTAGTAACAGGGCAGCCAATCATATACATTTATCAACATTAAGTGTCTTGAACAATCTTCTAACTTCCTCTTTCTTGCTGCTCCTCAGATCAGATAAGTGACTTTTTTCTATACTCTTACACTTTTTCATTACACACATAATTTTTGTTAATATCACTTTAAATGTTGTAAGTTTTAATGTTTCATGTTGTTCATTTCTATGTTGTCCCTGTTTCAGGGTCAGTATTATAGTGCTTAGCTCTGCTTAGGCTCAGACATTTTCCCTCTCTCCCTGGCTTTCACTAACTGCCAGGGCTGAGAGGGGTCTGACAGGCTGTGAGACCGCACCGCCCGCGCGTCTGCGGTCTCACTAGTGCCCTCCCTCCCTCCCTTCTGTGTAATTGCCGGCACCCGCTTAGACATCCCAGCGGGTGCCGAGCAGCTCTATCTCCCTCTTTTCCCCTGCCGGGTTTACTTCCGCCCGGCGGTCTGAGGCCGCGGGGAGCTCTCTCCTCGCGGCCATTACTGGAGGGGGGGTGGAGCAAGTTCGCCTTCGGCGCGCTTCTCTTCTCTGAAGCGCGGGAAGGCTGAACGGCTCCTAGTTGCTCCTGCTGCCCTCCGTGGGCAAGGTTGTACGGTTTCTATTTTCCCATATTTGCTTCTAAGGGTTAATCAACCCTTTTTCTCACTACCCTTCTCTTTGTTTGTTTGTTTGTATCCTGTAAGTTTTTTCTGCACTTTAGTCTGTAACTGACTGTGTGCTGGGGGTTTGTTTCTGGGTTAATTTAATTTAAAGACATCTCTCCCAATAAATAAAAAATAAAATAAAAAAAAAATAAATACATTTTGTTTGTAACAGACATTACTGATAGTAACTCAAAAAAATAAAAATAAAAATAAAAAAATAATAATAATAATAATAAAGGAAAACCCTGTGGGATTTATCCAGACCTGTTGCTCCCTGCCTAGCACACATATTCAGTCATTCCCATTCAGTCATTTCCATTGGTTGCACACCTATTCAGTCATTCCCATTGGTGAATTGGATAATACAATGCAAAATCACGGGGATGGACATGGGGGCCCTGGATGCCCTAATATAGAGAATACCTTACCCACCCCTGGCCTAGACCCGGGTCATTTACCCTCTCAGGAATTCCAGTCTCTCCTGGAATCAACTATGGCCGGTTCGGTCCAGCGAGCCTTGGCTTCAGCCATGGGCTCGGTGTCCACCTCCCTATCCCATTCTCTGGCCCAGGCACTCATGTTGCCCCCTGAAGTGCAACCTACTATAACGGCCCAAACTGATATACCAGTCCCTGCGGCCCGCAAGGCAAAAGCCAAGACTAAGCATACATCAACGCTCCCACTGATGCAGGTCTCCCCTGCCATGACTGACCCGCCTATGGCGGTCGTGTTGCCACGCACAAGAGCCACTGGTCGGGCGCAAGCGGCCAGAAATTGGAAACGGGCACGTGCCCAATACGAAGAGTCAGATTCTGACAATAGTGAGGAGATGGGGTCAGACGACCCGGATTATATTTACAATGCTATGGCTTCTGACTCAGATGAGGAGTCTAGTCCAGTAGTGGAACCGACGGGTGTGGAGGATGGTGTTCGGGACCCTCAAGGGTATCCCCTGTTCGACCCGGACAACCTCCGCCACCCTCGCTCGGCGGAGTGGGACCCGCCAACGCACATTGCGCAGTATTTGGCGCTCCGTCTGCGTACCCCTCTCTCTAACGAGAGTAGGAATAAACTCCGGGCAGAATGTCCCAGACCCTCCGTACCAGACATGGCCTGCAAAACCCCCATGGTGGACCCACATATCGCCCAATTCCTCTCAAAATCTGGCTGGAAGCCCAAGAAGGGGCTGGAGTTCTCACTCCACAGCTGTCAAGACAAAATACTAGACACCCTGGGGCCAACCACAAAATTATATGAATTACTCGAATCCGCTAAAGCGGGAGAGTCCACCATTGATTTCGATGTAGCCATCGGATGGGTCCAACGGCTTATCTGCTTGTTGGGTAATGCCAACACAGCCATCTCGGCGGAACGCCGTAAATCAATCCT